CTTTGGGGAATGGCAGGCCCATCGACATGTTCGGAGCTCAGTTTGAGACTGAGGTAAGAAACCTAGTGTCAGGTAATGATCATATATGAGATGGTTGATCAGGGTTTTTTTCAGCCATTTTCAGTAAAACATTTCATTTAGGCCTGCACTCATATATAGTTACAATTTTGGTTTCTTAAATCCATGCAGGGTCAAACGTGTACAAACACACTCAAATATAAACATACGTTCACTTATTTCTTTTAATAAGCAATCCTGAAGGTTCTGCAGTGTCCTTGAAGACCAGCTTCTTGTCAGAGATCGTGGTTGACTGCTGGCAATGGTTGTTTCTATTTGCCAGTATAAACAAGATTTGTTTGAAAGCACTAAGTAACTGTAGGTTGCAAGATCACACCTTAAATAAATATTTGTAAGTACAGGTTTAATGTGTGTGCCACCACAAGAAGACACAAATTGTCTCCCTCACATGAGAGGGTATTGGCTCGGACTTTCAGGGACAATCCAGGGGCCACAAAGGCACAAGCCTACCCTGACCTGGAAACTACTGGAACAAAATTACTATGACAAAGTTACATGCCCATGATGAGTGTCTGTAAACTTCTGACCACAACTGTATAGTACGGTCTATCCGGCAGAAAGGATGTTTTGATACTAAAAGTACAAGTCAAAGGTATAATTATTGTTGAAATAACAGGAGACTAGACGTGTTGTAGGTAATGATAGTGATAAACAAGACTCTTTTTACTGCCTCCCCAACAGGCGATGGTGTTCGGACCTGGACTCACAGAGTTGACAACACCCCAAACTGATGTGTGGGTTTGGCAGTTGGTATGTATGCAGAGTCTGTCCCAACAGTCTGTCCCTGGACGCACATGTAAATCTCCCTTCCTCTTCTACATCTCTTTCTTAGGAGGGATCTTCCACAGTGACTATGAACGAGCAGGAGTTCAGTCTTCCTGCAGGAGACAGTTTGCTCATTCCCGAGCAGAGCCAGTAAGTCAATATCAAGTTGTCAGTAAATCACAAACTCTTTCACTGAGTGTACAAATTATTGGATCAAAAGTGTTGAAAGTGAACTCTCCAGGGTTTCCAGTGTGGTTTTGCATGCAGTGACTTTCTCTGTCGTAGATACCAGTGGCAGAGAGCTGAGGGGACTGTCGCCTTGGTTGTGATCCAAAACCCAGAGAGGAAGAGACCTTAAGCATCAACCGTCAAATCACACCTGCATTGAAACATATGCTGGGAGGGGAGCACGAATTCTTTAAATGAGCTCGAACAACTGAAAGTGTTTTATGTATAAAACAAATACAGTAAGTAGCATAGACCATTTAGTAAGGGTAAACAGTATTAATAAACAATTACAAAATGATGCTATATTCTCGCATTCATCAATCACTACATGTAATTTTATGTGAGTAAAATGCATAAATAAAAACATCCTCATGTCTGAGCATTTGTCTTTTCCTTGTAAGTTGGCTGTTACTCATAAACTGCATTTCTAGTGGCTCTAATGACTTAAAAACACAAGTTTCAACAGGTATCGGGAACATAACACTGTTGTCAGATGAACTTTTCCAACGAACTGCTTCATAGCCACCTACATGTTTTGCGTAGTTTCTTACAAAACTGACATGTAGAACCTGCTGCTGTTTCAAAAACCTTTTAGGTGGAGGTGCATGGAGGTGAACTGATACAGCGAGCTAACAGGAATTTGACTCCTTAGCAGGCTGTCTGTTCACGTCAACCAGCAGGCTGACAGTTTCGGAGCCAAACCCAATGCTTTGTTTGGATTTTTGTAACCAAATTAATTCAGTTTAATAACATTACGGTCATATCTAGTGTTTCTTTTACAATTACTTAAAAGAAATGAATTTGATTACTTCCCAGTAAAAAGTAATTTGTTATGCTGCTTTTTGTTTTTATATTTCTTTCATGTTGCTCAGTAGCATGTCCTGAAATACACTGTGACATAATTACCAGTTACCAGTATGAACCTTCGGCTACAGTCCCAGATAATAAGATAAATCCTTTTCTTAAAAAGAGCAGTTTTTCTTTCAAGGTTACATTTGAACACAAAACAAAGTGGAAAACCACCACATAGACTTCAAAGTGTTGCCACTGTGATTCTAAAATGAATGCTACAGCGCTCTAAGCTTGACTACTCATCACTCACTTTGTTACATGGTGGTAAATAAGATGTGTCTCCGCTGGCTCTGTGCTGGCACGTTGTTTGTGTAGATGTCTGCAAAGACCTGATGTTGTGTTAGCAGTACAGTGTGGCTGTTTCTGTCCTGGACACAATTTGTACTTTACCATCACCCTCCTGTGTTTTTATGCAATGAAAATAAAAGTAATGTTGGTATTTCCACTCCTCCGTTGTAGACTGCTCCGCCCTGTCTATTCCCTGCACATCTTAGTACAACTGCACAACTGATGGTAAATGCTACTGCGCTACGTCCAGTGCAACTGTAACGCAACTGCAGGCTAAACAGAAAACCATGTTTCATATTTTTCTTTCCTCTCGTCATGTAGAAGATTGCAGGAAGACATAATGATGATGTGATTTCTCAATTTAGTACTGTGAGGCATTACATTGCTGTGTTCATGAAAAACCTATTTTATACAAAAATAGATGTAAAAACAAATTAATTTAAGCATCACACCCCAAAATTTACATATATTTGTAATATAAGTAACCTCTATGTCATACCATTTCCCTGGTCACCAAAACAGTATGGAGAAATTTACAAGGAAAATTTGATATTAAGAAAGACACAACAACAAGTGTTTTTAGGTCTAAAATAAAGTCTTAGCAAAGCCTTTTCCTTCTGTTACCCTCATTGCTGCTGTGAGGTTTTCCTATAGATTTCAACCACCTTCATTTCTTAAAATGTCTCTGATTTTTGTGTTGTCTCACTCTCTTTTCTTTTGTTTCCTTCCCCCCGGATAGCAGAGGATGATTAAAATGAGAAAATTAATTACATTTTAAAGTATTACAACCATAAATGAATATAACTTCTTGCTCTGAAAAGTGAGTAAATCTTCATGTAAAAATTATTTATGGATACTTTTCTTTTTACTTTTCTTACTTGTAGCTGTATTAATCGATACCCTCAATCATTAAATACTCCTCAATCCAAGCATGAACTCTAAGTCACATCTGTATTAGAAACCGCTGTCCTGCTCACTGAGAAGCATTTCATGGACTAACACATAAAGACTAAAGGATGTAAACCCTGCAATAAAAGTGATTAAAGAACGTGAAAGCTGTACTCTCCCATCAGATGTAATTGTATGTGAGTGCTGAGAGAAAAATAAATAAATATCTACAGAAATAACATTATGTGCTTTCCTTGCAAGATGACTGTCACTCATAAACTTCAGTCCCAGTGGCTCAAAGGACTTAAAAACACAAGTTTCAATGAGTATCAGGAACGCAGCCTTGTTGTCAGATGACACTGCTGTTAGGTGCCAACTGCCAGGTTCCTATTTAATCACCACTGTTTAATGGAGTACGGGATTTCCCCCAGTAATGCACAAATGACTGTAAATGAGTTCAAAGCATATTTGGCTGTGAGATGCCAGTCATAATTATCGATGGCACCCAGACTAAAAAAACAAATACAAATATTTTTTTAATGAACATTTTCTGAATTGTTTTCACTACACTTTTCCCATGGACGCGTAAGCTATAAATTAAGATCCAGGAACGTTGCCCTGCAATAAAACGTTCCAGCTAGGTGGGACAATATTTATTAATAAGTAATGGGAACTATGGGTGTGGAGCTTGCTGCGCTGGACATTTCTGATTGGTTGAGTACTTGTCTTCTGCTTTTCAACCACCTACATTTGTCATGTAGTCTCTTACAAAGCTGACATTTAAGAACTGGTGACACTTTATAAATCAGCAGTGTAATTAGCCTTCGGTCGACAGTCTGAAAGAGCCTTTCAATAAAGATTTGAATTGTTCCAGATACTTTGGGGGTGGCAGTGCGTAAGCTTAATGATGTTATTGTCATATATGAAGATAATTTAAAGCCCACTTATTAGGTTTTGTCTACTATTTTATTTACCCCCAGTGCTGAAATTTGAGCTTGTTTGAATTCAGAATTTTACTGCTTTAGATGCACCAGCAAAAAATGTTACCAGGAAGGCACCAATCACAGCACAGCCAAATGTACAGGGCTAAACGCACAACGCAAGGTACGTGTTTGTGTTTTTGACTAACTGGTTTCTGGTCTGACACTTACTTTTCAGCATTTAGCTACATTTGTGGACATTTCCTGTTTTTTATTCTCACTGTTTGTTTAATTTTTGCTCCCATCTACTACTTTGCAGGACACGTTATCTGTGGAGACTTAAATAGGCTTGTGTCTTGTCTTGCATAGACAGAGCGTAAATCTATGTTTGCCTTTGTGTAATGTGCATAAAAGTGCTGAACCACGTGTGCTGTTATTGTTCAGGTTTTTAAAAAAAAAATACATACACTAACTTCCTCATTGCAAATCGGTACAAGCTGTTTTAAACAATCTTTTTAAAGGATGAAATATTGGAGAGTTCCTTGTACGCTTACGTGCATGAATTTGGCCTTGAAGCTACAAAGAGAAGAGTATTTATGTTGCATTGAGAGAATAGATTGCTGGAGTTTCTTCTGCTTTCAATGAGGCTAAACGTTTAAAGTAAAACTGCTTCTTAAAGCAAAGATATAAAAAGGTGAGTGTTGACTGTATTAAGCGATTGGATTCTTTTAGCTTAGTGTGAATAATCCTTTGGGAAAAGATCAAAGGATTTAAGAAAGCTGGCTTCACTTTCTCAATAGTTCAAAGCTCATTGTTGATCATTCTTTCTGTTTTTATTCACTTTACTATAAAACTACACCTGCTGTTTCTTCATAATATTTTATTTTTCCAAGTGTCCAGGCTAATTCATATCTGTGGCTTTGTGTAGAGACTTTTTGTTATCTTATTTTCCAAAATCAAGACTACTCCTTTAATGTACTTTCCCAGTCAGGTTTATTATACTGCTAAAAACAACAGAATAGTTACTTTTAATATAATTAATATGAAATTAATTAATCAAGTGTTTTGGAAGCACATGAGTCCAGATCGTCACAACAGCGGTTCAGTTATGCAGTCTTATTCTTAAAGTGTGCCTGATCACATGCTGTTCTGCTATATATGCAGCCACAGCCCAGGGAAGTGCATAGTCCAGAGTTATCAGTCCTCTCAGGTTGTACCTATGGCCTGAGTAGTCCCATGGACAGGCTCCCAACAAACTAAGCCCCACACCCCAGCTGAACTCCCACAGGTAGATGAAAACAGTGTAGAGCACGAGCCGCACAGTCAGTGGGTGATTCTGAGCGAGCATCAGGGCCCTCAGCCTCTCCATGAGATAGATTGCTGTGGCATACATGGGCAGCGCCCACAGACTGCTGTGGCCTGCCAGCCTCCTGTCCTGGGTGCTGCACCAGTCCCACACAGCAGTGAAGGCCACCTCGCAGAGGCAGCCATGCAGCGCATACACGTAGAGACGAACAAGAGCAGAAACAGGTCGAACAGAGCTGCTGCCATGTGGTTCTGCTGGGGAGTCATTTTCAACAATCCCTGTCAAAAAGAGACAGAAATTACTGGATGCTTTCGTCTTTTCTTTTTTTTTTCTTTTCTTATTTTCAGTTGTTACAGACGGGACAGACATGAGTGAGGGACAGGAAAGGGAGAAAGAAAGAGGAAAGAAAAGAAGAACAGAAGGGGAGAGGGACAGTGAGAAAGAAAAATCTCCTGGATCACCTGTTGAGAGAGAAAGAATAGAAAACAAGCAAAAAAACCCAAAGCAACATACTAAACACAACACCATCGCATTAATCTAGCTAAGTGTAAACAGCAGTAAGTACTAAATATTCAATTTTGTTGTGCAGCACACAGGACAGACAGCGCACAATGTGCTTTGAAGTAGCAGCCAAGAAAGGTGTAATTTAAGTCTACGAACAGTGATCACGCGTGTGCACACCTGTGTGGATCAGCGCGCTTGTATTCAAATGGTTTCCACATGTAATGGTCTGCAAGAGGATGTAGGGAGCCATAGCCCCGTCCCCCAGGGCATGAAGCAGGCATGGAGGAGATCCAGGCTCCAGACATCCAGAGGCCTCAGAGTGCGAGAGCCCAACGAGGACCACCGGAGGGGCATCCGTGCCACCTTCATGGGAAGGGCTGAGGATCCCCAGACGAGGCGTTTTCGTCTTTTCTTAAACTATTTAATATGTGTAGTTTTCTAAATAACTTTTCAAAGATTTTTAATAGTTTAGAGTAAACAGATTAAGCCTGGGCTAATAAATGATGAGAATAAATTAGATGAGTGCTCTCATTTCTTTGCTGTAAATATTAAGGGCATCCAGATATTTAGCTCAGCTTAGCAGTAAGACTGTTCAACTGATTTCTCTCTGTTTTTGCAGGGTTTCACGTTATAATGCAAAGTAACTAGAGGTGCCTGTTGTTGTGATTTGACAGAAACATTTAATTGAATTCGGCACTAGTGCTGTCAGAGGTATGAACTTCTATTTGTTTCATTTGTTCAACAGTTCAAATATTAAAAAAGCCGTCAGACTATTTCTTTGCCTGGGGCACCCTTTTCTTAGAGTTGTCTGTCTACCTGTCAGCCTAATAAATTCAGTTCACTTCTAATGTTTACTGTGCACAGACAAGACTTTGACAGCCAATTGGCCATAAAGTGTTTTTATTTGAAATAATTTGTACAGAATAAAAATAAAAATTATAATAATTGCTTTACGTTAGTTTTGGGTTGTGTCAGACTAACTCCCCCCCCGTCTCCAGCTGTTCTACAATGTTCAGTCAGCCTGTAGGTTGAATGTACAGTATTACATATATTGTTATTGTATCTTTATTTCAGACATATAGAGCAAACCACTATGTACACGTACACATACTTGCATTTACACATACAAATACGAATATATATGTACACACACACACACACACACACACACACACACACACACACACACACACACACACACACGTATGTGCTACATGGACTGAAATGAGGTTTTAAAGGAAGATGCTGCCTGGTCAGAAATATCACTGAAAATTAATATTTAGGTTGTGAAACAAATTAGATGTAAAATATGTTGAAGTAAACATCAGAAAACAATATTTACAAAATATTAACGTTAGCTGGGGGTAACAGCTAGCCTTAATTAACCAAAGTTCAAAGACTATAGTTTAGTTTTCACTTCCTATTTTCTCATTTTTTGTGGAAGGTTCAAGCTTTTGTATTATAAATTTTATCGAGATGATTTACATTTGTAAATGTTAATACAACTATTAAAAGCCAAACTTAAGAAGTTTACTGATTTCAACAAACTATTCTGTGCCACGTTTTTTTCTCATAATGTCTCTGGATTATGGGTTATGTCTCTCACTCTTTTGTTTTTCATGGATGTAAAGTAAGATGATCAAAATCAGAAAAAAATGAAACGATAAATTACTCCAACCATAGATGGAAATAGCTTCCTGCTCTGAAAAGTAATCAGATTATTTACGGATAAAAGTCTGTTTTAAAGACATTTCCCTTCCTTTTAATTACATTATTCAACGCTCTCTTTCATGAAATTGTAAAGTCTGAGCAATAAATCCTGTTTTCATAATTTCTTGAACGGGTGTCGAAGGCTGTTAAGTCTATTAATATATTAAACAGCGTGTTTAACATTAATCTCTCTTGCCAGCATTTTCCTGTCCAGATAAAAAAAAAAAAATCATAAAATTTTAAGAGAAAGAAAAGTTTGTTGAATTTTGTTCTTTACATTATTACAAGTTCAAAATGAATTCACTCGCTCATTCTCAGGCCATGCAGCACAGCTGACAGCCTCTCGTGTGGATTAACAGGCTAATAGCCCTACTTAGCAAATTAAAGGCTTAGACTGACTTCAACAAGTTTTCACTTTGCTATAAATATCAGCTAGGCGACTTTCACGGTCAATTATTTTCCCCAGTCAATCCAATCAGTAATAATTTACCATCTGTACAGAATTGAACTCCATCACTTTGCTTCTTCACTCAGTGCAGAAGAAATAAAGATGCAGTGGCAGGTAGCACCACCTCAAGTTTTTTCATCTTCAGTCATTACACATTTTAAAATGCTATTAGCAGTTATAACTCACCTTGATCGTTACCTCGCATTCGCCTCACATTGAGTTTACTCGTCTCCATTGCTTGTCGGCATATGGGTCTCTGTGCCTTTGTAATCTCTTAGCTCTCTAGTGTGTGTGTGTGTGTGTGTGTGTGCATGTGCATGGGTCTTGGGCTAAACATTAAGCTGCTCCATGTTATCAGAGTGAGACAGTGATGTCCCTGTCACAGGCTGAAGCTGTGAACTGAGGGAAAACTCGGGAAGCAAACCTGGACCACCTGAGCAGTAACTGTGTGTGTGTTGTGTGCAAATCCTAGTATTGATCCCACAGTGGCTGTTTGAATGTTTTAAGCATACAATAAGTGAGCGAAGAATTGTATCGATGAGTGTTTTCAAAGGGCAGACACGGAAGCGCCATATAATGCTGTATCTGAGTCATGCAGTGGGTCAGATTGGCGGTTATCAGTGAACTACAGTACCTAGGTGTGTCAGAGAAGCGAGTCAGAAATCATATTAATAGATCAGTTTAATATTTACATTATATAATCAGGTAAATTAAAGAATGGCACTTTGGTTGGCCAGTCCACCACTTTTCCCACCTAAGACACTTCAACAAGTCTGAAGCAGATTGCCGTGAAATCCAGAAATTTCATTGTTCAGTCATTATTTAGGACATATTAACTGGGCATTTACCTTTAAAATGATTAGTAAAGATTAGCGCAATAACACAAATTTAGAAAGTGAACAGAAAAAACAATACACCAGACACCCAGTACAGACTAATACGTTTGGTCCAAGTACAGCCTACATTCAAATAGCTTTCAATATTTTCATAGTTACATCATATTCAAATGTATTGTATTTATTTGGTGTGCATAAAAACCTTTCACCGTCCTCTCTGTAGCTAGTTTATGCATTTCTTAGTTTATTTAGGGAGCTGAATGGCTCAGGTACAGGGGAGAAATTTATATGATGTTATCATGTTTTCTTTTCTTATTATAGAAATAAGGAAGTGGATTACGCTCATTAATCACTGACACCAACTGACATGTACACAAAGATGCCAATATACAAATAAAAACATATGATACAAATATGGAAGCGAGCTCTTAACAGCCTGGTTTCACACATGCATAGTATACACTGCAACCATAAAGTGGGTCTGAGAGCAGATGTCAGTCCTGACGTGGTGGCGCTGCTTGCTTGTGTGTGTTTGTTTTATGTGTACGCTAATAAAACAGTTGAATGAATGGCAGCCGTCCAGATCAGAGTCCAGTGATTCTGGCAAACACACAGCTGACATTTTATAGTACGGCATGACAGCGGACGGGACGAGTGAATTCTGGTAGATCATGAAGTCAAGTATGGTGTAATCCAGGAAGATCAACTGGTCTCAGTGTCAGCCCACATCAGTTGATGGCTTGATTATTCTTCTATGCGTCAAAAAGAGGTCACACTATTTAAGCCGCTTCAGCCTGACTGTGTTTGCTGTGCATCTGCAAGCTACATTGCAACCCACCTATACCCTTGTTTTCAATGTTGCCTGTTGTGCTCTGTGCTGGGGTCTTGCTGCTGCTGTCCTTGCCTTACACTTCCCTTGTATGCATGTGGAAGGGAAGCACCCAGATCAGAGCAATGCCACTAAATATGAATTCCTGCAGATAGAGATAAAAATCATTCTTTGACAGCAGTGGCCCTGGCTCATCTGAAGAAAAGACAAGATTCAGTCCATAAAGGTGACTCTGTTAATCTGGATGTATCATTGATTAGCAACCATTGATCAAAGATAAAACAACCTGGACTTACCAGAAGCTGAGGACCATGAGAGAGAAAAATCACACAGACACACCAACCAACCAACCAACTTTGGACCCAAGGTGCTGTACAACAAAAGTGGAAACAACCCACCACCATAGGTTCCACAGCTACTGGCTTATCCTCGGTTCACCTCAGTAAAAAACAAAAAAGAACATTAAAAGTCCCAAAAATCTAAAGTCTAAATGACTTACCTTATGTAATAAAGCATAACCCACTGATATATAATGCTATGTGGACGTGGGGAAAACTGAGAAAATCTTTTAACGGTAGTCTTCCGTTTAATATCTTGTCAACGTTTATAAATAATCCTGACCTTCTGCCGCAGAACGTAGGGTCAAGCTTTGTGGGATGGCATAAAGTAGGTGTAAAGAGGTTTTATGACCTCTTTAAACATGGTGAGTTTAAATCATTTGAATCCTTGAAGACAAGACATAGAATCCCAGTATTCTATGTCAAAGACTGAGTTTTATAAGTATTTGCAATTGAGAAATTATGTGTTAAAAAATGCTAAATCATTACAAATCTCAACTGCCTCTTTTCGGTTGGAGAAATTTTTTCTGGATAATAGGGAGCATAAACATTTTGTATCAAAGTTTTATTCCGAGATTTATGCCCTAATTGTGGATAAACTGGCATGGTTGAGAAAATCTTGGGGGACGCTGCTTAAATGTGAAATAGATATACAGGCATGGGACAAAATCCTGGTCCTTCCATCTAAAATCTCTGTTTGTAACCGATTTAAAGAACTGCAGCACAAAATTTTGCACAATGTGTAGATTTCTCCGTATATTTATAGTAAGTATAATATGGGAACATCTCCAAACTGTCTCAAGTGTAAGGTCAGAGTGGGCACTAGATTCCACTGCTTGTGGGAGTGTGCTATTATCCAGTCATTTTGGAAAGAGGTCTGCGCCAATATTAGTACAGCCATTGGTCATCAGGTGACAGAAAACCAAATAATGTGTATATTGGGATATATTCCTGTCTCACTGGTACAACATGAGCATGTAATTCAGTCACTGTTAATGTTGGCCAGGAAAAGCATTATGTTGAGATGGGTGGGGGCTGAGCCTCCCTCCATTTCTCTATGGAAGTCGCTCATCATTGAAGTTAAGACTCTGATCAGGCTGGGACACTATATTGATGGGAGCTCCCGAATTTTTGTGGACAAATGGAAGAAACCACTGGAAGCACTGGGTGTAACCTGTAAACTGGATCCTAGTGAACAACAATTATGGACATAATGTTGTAATATTCTAGTGCTGTGTAGTGTTATTATTTTGGATGTGAACCAGTCTTATATTTGTTGGGGAAAAAAGTTAAATAAAAGTAAAAAAAAAAAGTCTCAAAAATCTAATAGGACACTTAAGCCCCTTTTCCATTAGTACCTACTTGGATCGACTTGGCACGGTTTACTACGGTTTTAAGGGTTTTCCATTGTGGTCATAATACCTGCTACCAAGTACTATTTTAGCACCTCCCCACCCGGGGTTCCAAGTGAGCAGGTACTAAAATGTGACGTCGTCAGACTGCATGCCACCAAGTGGGGAGAGAGACCACACACATCAGGCTACATCTACACTAATCCGGATAAATTTGAAAACAGCGTTTTTGTCTAAAAACTCTCTGCTTTCACACTATCGTTTGTAATCGTTTACGAACAGTTGTTCATCCACACTGAAATGACTGAAACTGTTCCTGTATTGCACATGCGTGAAATGTAAGACAATTCGACCTGCGTTATTTCTATCTGCCATTTATATTTGAAATGTTGCTGCTAAATGTCGAGGAAAAGCACCGAGCTTTTTAAATGGGCTGACTGCGTTTTCGCAGTCCACACTGTGACGTGAAAACGGCGTTTTCAAATGTATCCACTTTGGAGAGTTTTTTCAAAGAGTTCAGTTTTCCTTGACTAAAAACGCTGTCTCAGTGTGGACGGAAGGCCAAAGCGGAGACATGGCCTTAGGTAGTACTGCATTGTAATGGAAAACCAGTCAACCTGAGTTGAGTCGGGGCGAGCCATAGTGAGTCGATTCGAGTAGTTACTAATGGAAAAGGAGCTTTAGCACCAGGTTCATTGCTCACAGTCAAACTAAAAAAAATCTACTCCAAGCACACAATAATAAAAGACGCACACTCTTTTAAAACAAAGAAAGTAAAGTACACAAGCCTAGGAATTTACACTCCACAGGCAAACAGTTGCCTGCACCGATGATGGTCGTTATGACATTTGATCCTAGCAAACACTCCAAAAAGGCGCTCTCTGTGGCGACTGGAGCAAGTCAAACGTGCAAGTACAAATATCAGATGTAAGTAAACACCAGCAAAATAAACGGGCAAGAGATCACTCAAGCTAGGGCTGGGCGATATGACCCAAAATTCATATCTCGATATTTTTTAGCTGGATGGCGATATAAGATATATATCTCGATATTTTTTTTTAAAGCCATAAAGTAAGAACAAAAAGAGAGTTCTTAGTCAAAGCTGTGTCCCAGATGTCACACAGGCACTTTTATTAACATAGAGCAGATGTACATAAAATTTACTCAAAAATAAATTATGAGCATTTATTAAATAATAATGCTCCATAAATAAAAGAAAACAATGTTGTTTTTGTGCATAACAAAAAGCTCACAATTGTGCAGTCAAAATGTAAACTAAAAGACGCTGAGCACAATAACAAAGACAGATTTCAAAGCTGCTCTGTTCCCAACTTGTACTGCGTGACTGACAGCCTGGAGTTTGCAATCCGCTTTGCAACCACGTCTCTCAACAGGTGCCATTTATGGTCCTTATACACAGTAGGGTAATATTACGTTGAAGCACAGTACGTATCACTCCTTGAGGCTCAGCCGTAATGCTCCGACAATCCATCAAGCGGTGCAGCTCCGTAGCTTACCAAAGTCGTACTAAAACATTTTTTGACAGATTGCTGAGCGCCGTGTTCCACATAAAATCGGTTCGCGGTCATCAAGCACAACCAGAATTCATACATAAGGCGCGCTGTCAACTTTTGAGAAAATGAAAGGATTTTAGTCCGTGCAGCACCTCTAGGCTGCATGGCGTTAGCGTGGTTAGCTCGTTAGCGTGGTTAGCTAGCTAACACGTTGACGCCGTCCAGCCCCACGCACGGGGCGATGCGCAGTAACTCGTTAACGGAGATTTGCCGTGTCCATCTTGTCGCTTCCTGTAGGTGAAGCGATGGGGGAGGAGGGGGAGTTGTGTTCAGTGAAGGAGAGGCGAGGCCGAGTAACGTTGCGTAAAGACGAAAGTGGACGAAAGAGAGGCAAACTTGCGGCTCCACAAGTATAATTATAACGTAACATAGACT